GAGATGTCTAGTAGAATGTAATGTTTCCTTCTAAATCGGTTATGAACGTTGTTTAAGTTTACATTTTTCTTCATTTGTGGCCTGATCCAGTATGTTACATTCCATTAGAGTCTTCCAGTTCATTTCAGCGGTACAGAGATTAAGTCTAGAGCACTATAAGCATACTACCCACATTAAAAGAGGCAATGGCACAGCAACCAACTTCTGTACTGTAGGGAATCCCAAACCACAGGTGCATCATACTGGTGTAACGTTTCCACAGTGATTCAGAGGGAGGAATACCAATTCGTACGCAATCAATATCGTTCCTCACAGGACTTCCTTAAGAGCTTTTCTTCCACTAGCCATGCTCAGTTTGTGCCATGCATACACTTCCCAATTATACGACTGAAAGTTTGGAAATAGCTTTTCTGAAACAGCAGTTCTGAAAGAAACAGACAAAATATGCAGCTGGTAGTCTCTAGAATGATTGGTAAGTAATTACTGCAAATCATATGGAATTATGTCACAATGGTTACAAATAGCATCTGATGTTTGATGGGAAATTTTGCAGTTAATCCAAACACAATTCCCTTGTGGTTAGTCTCAATCATTTCCATTTTAATAAGCTGTAGTACAACAGCATGTATGTAACTGTCAAACCAACTAATTGTGATATAATTAATTTGCTACACATAAATATTCTTTGTAGTAGTTATTCGTCTCTGAAACATTACCTTTAAAGCCTGGAAACTGGACAGGGTTTTTTTGTTAGAAATTCATATGTATTCATGTATATCTAGTCAATTTGTTCATTTTTACAGAAAAATTTCCTTCCTGCAGTTCTTTTTCGTAAGGATTCGAAATATTCTTTAAAACCACCTCATTAGAATCCTTCAAGCAGTTTAACTGTATGTTGTTACAAAAAACAGTGGCTAGGAAACTGCTGTAGAAAAAAAAAAAATGCTTTCTGCTTTTGTACCCAAATAATGCAAAATTAGAGTTGAACAAAATATCAGATTGATTACCTGAATATTTATAATGTTCATCTTTATAAAGGTTGTTAGATTACCCTTTTTTTCCTTTTTTTAGCTACTAATACTTATCAAAAATTACATGGATACTCAGAATGATGTTATTGCCTCAAAAAGAAAGAAGGATCCTGTAGTGAACAGGATTCTATTCCAGTTTGTAAAATGGCATTATGTCTTTAGTGTCATGTAGATGTTTCTGCTTGAAGTCATCATTATGACTTTATTGACAAAATACTATGACACTACAAACATCAGACCAAAACATAATAGTTTCTTTTTGTTTGCTGCCTTAAGAAAATCATCTCAGCTTTCTTTAGCAATTGCTGGGAAAATCAGCCAGAAATCAAACATGATTCCAAAGTATTGCTGTTTGGTCACAGGCCTGTGAGGAAAGTACGTTGGATTATAGTCCTTCCTACAATGTCTCTTTATACATTTTTCTGTAAAAGAACGATTGTCTGCAACTGGATTATTTGCTAGGTACATTGTCACCAGGTAAGTGGCTGACTTCATCACACACCAAACACATTTGCATATATTATTGCATTCCATTTACTAGTCTTTTTAAAAAAATCTCTCCTCTTTCTTGGTTACACGAACAGCACCTGAACAGCAGATTTATTTCTTTTTCTCAGTGCTTTTGCTTACTGGAAGTCTTCTTAAAGGTGTTACTGTAATTGTAATTTGTACAACTGAGGTGGAACAACTCTTTATACAGTTTTCATTGTAGTTGCAGGTACAACGTCTGTTACCGCAAACCTGTGGAAAGCATATGTGCATTAGAGCATTACCCCTAAGGAGATGTTAAAAAAACCCCACAGTGTAATCAATACTGTAAAAAAGATGCTCTTATTGGAACTGCGATAGTTAAAAGTAGCTAATGTGCCCATACACACAGATTACAGTTTACAGATTTTACGGTTTACAGAAATCTTATCAGTATTTTTTCATTGATTCATGATACAGTAATATAGAATAATGTGTCATTATCACTAATGGGAACTGCAAATGTCCTTGTGATGAAACTCAGCAGATTAACAGATGTTTATAAAAATATGCTGCACTACAAGGAACGTTTCATAAAAGTAGCAGCACAAAAAAAGATTAATAATATTAGGTTTACTATACTGGAGATTCCGTTTATCTAGAATCAATTATGGGAAAGGTCTAGTATTTCCATCATAATCTCTGCTGAGCACATTTGCACAGCATACAATTGGCAGGTTTAGTTCAATGCTGACTCAGTATTATAATAATTTTGCAAAGCAAGAGTGGACTTTTTTAGAAAGAGTTGTATTGTGCAGCTACTACATCTGTCTTCCAGAAAGTCCAAAATGGATATATCTGTATAGGAAAATACAGTGCCAGCTTTCCTTCCAGGAAAAAAGACAGATCTCCAAATTGCATACATATATCCTGTGTTGTCTCACATTTGCATTAACTTGTGCAAGTTTTTCAGAAATTAAGAAAGAAATCCATGGGTCTTAATCTAAATTTAGAATGCCTACAGTGATGTTCCTGTGCTTTCTAACTGAAATCCATGGTTACTGTGGATAAACCCATCTAATATCATCAGTTAAAATTGTCATGGGCTGACTGATATGGGCATCTGCTTTCTCTGTTCATTGGTTTATATAAACTGAAGAGGTAATATGCATGGATACAAAATGACTTTGTAGATCATGTGAAGTATTTTCTGATGTTCTCATAGGTTAATATTAGGAATTAGCTACTTATATGTAGCTACAAGTAATATCCTAGGAGACTCTTTTGAAATATTCTTTCCAAGGTATAACAGCCTGAAGTAAAAAACTCAATTATTCATGAATGACTTTTGTGCTCATTTCTAATGTGTTATAATTTAGATCTTAACTTAAAAGAGGAAATATAAATGAATGGTATTGTATAAGTCGTACCCTCCTGGACAAGTTTGCCCATCATTAGCAGCAGCTCATTTCTAAAATTGAAATAAGCATTTGTTTGGTTTGTGATACTATAGCAAACATTCTTAAGTTGCATTGTATAATCTAATAACCTATTAATGCAACACTTGAATGAAAAAATGCTATTCATTTCAGAAATTCCACTCTATTGGGATTCAGTATAAGACAGATTATTCTTAATAATGACTTGAGCACTAGATGTGCAGTGAATTTGATAGCAATAAGATAATTGTTCTCAGTCAAAGGCTGGTATCACTCTTAAGAACTACCTTTTATTGAGCAAATGTTTGGTCATCTAGCTGTCTACAATAATAGCTTGTGGAAAAGCTCCTACCAGAATAAAAAAGTAAGATTCCTCAGCTGTGTAGAAAGTAAGAACCATGAGAGTATGCATACATCTTATACATCTTTCTCTCTGTGGTTCTGTCTAAGGCTAGTAACCAATGATACTATGCTAGGGAGAATTTGTAATACCCTCAAGTAGCAATTGGGCAAGAACAAATGCAATATTTAGACAGAAACTGATTTACTGATTTTTCTGGAGTGTCATGAAAAGGCACTGAAGGTGAAAATGCTAACACAATGCTAAAAAGGCAATAAAAGCTCACAGGGGCACTTCATAAGCAGATTCCACAAAACTTAGTAACTCACTGCATAATAATATGCTTCTGAAACACTTATTTCTTGTATGGCATGGTGATATTACTAGAATGCTGATTTGGCATAATAATAAAACTAAAAATTTCCTGTTAATGTACCTGGTCAGATCTGAAAAATCCAGAATGTGTATTTCACAGTGCATTTGCTCTGACAGAGAACTGAGTGCTATATTCATGTGTGTGTATGACAGAGGATGGGATGCTCCCGCTGTTACGTAAAATCAGGTTCACATCCAAATATATATGAAAAATTTGTGTAATGCTATGTTATGATGCAAGCAGAAGTAAGGAGCAAAAAGGAGGTTTGAATGAGGTGAGTTCTTAACACATACTATTTACACAAGAACATCATTCCTGCCGAGCATCTGTATTAGATCACTTTTTAAGGGAGCTGGGAAAAGAGGTTAGTCTTTTGCTTAAGGAAGAATGTGCAAGTGACATGACACCTCAAACAGATGAGATCTGTGGAAATTTTAGGAAGCTGTGAGCAATAAGTGAAGGAAGGATTACTCTGCCCAAGATTTGTGGATCCGTGGTTTCCTGCTGTGGGAGAAGGAAATGAAAGATTTGAGCAAGGACTAAGAGCCCGATAGCTAATGGAGTGAAACAGTGGAGCTGTCCGGGGCCTGAAGTGGCTGGGTGAGAAAGACTTGTGGATAAGCTAAAATAAGGATCATAATCCTGGAAGAAAGATGGACATTTGTTCCAAATGACATCATTCTTTAAAAATGCAGAAAGTGGTTACAGGTGGCTCCATGACTCGTGCCATCCATGATAATTTGCGTATCCATTATGTTGAAAACAGGAGGACACTGGGAAGGTGGAGAAGCCCATCTGAAAAACTTCAAAAACACCTTATTAAACCAGCTTTTCTACTTGTGCCATGTATAAATCAGAGGGCTGTAGAGCTGCGGCGTTGTCTCCTCTTTCTTAACTATATGTGATAAATGCAGCCCATTTACTAATGCAGGTGTCACAGATTCATATAGGACTGACATTTATAGTTGTTACTTTGTTTGGCTACTACACAGCTATAGTTGTCTTTTCTAACTTGACACCTGACACAGCTTCTTAACCATTTTGTAACAACCAAAGAAGCATCTAAAGAATAGGAAGTCAGCAAGTTTGTGGGTTTTCCTCACTGCAGTGAAGAGAGTTGAAAAGCTTAACTTGTGGTCTGGTCTTTATTTTGTTTTGTTTTCCTGAAGGGTACTCAGAACCTGAAGATTGAAATTGCGGATACTACTACCTCTAAAAAAATCAAACCAATTGTGCTTTAAAATGCAAGTACTGTATTATTATGTCACTGGTGCATTGAGGCACAAGCATGTTATTTGCTGTTAGAATGTTATTAAATGCTTTTATTTCAACTCATTCCATTACAGAACATGAAAAGCAGCGGTTATGCAAAAGCACAGATTATATGAATTTGCACTTCAAAGTGAAATGGTTTTATAATGAGTATGTGCGAGAACTCTCTGCTTTCAAGGATGCAGTACCTGAATACTCTCTGTAAGTAGTGTATAGGGAAGTGTCCCATGAGTTTAGGCTTGGTGTAAGGTTTATTTTGGTCAAATATTTATGCTCAAGTTTGTGCAAGATCTCAAGGTGCATAGCACTGACAACTCTTTACTTTTCGCACTTTCGCCTCTTTAATCTTCATTCTATCAAATGTAATAGTCCAGGTATCAAAAGTGTTATTAGCTATTTCATAGGACTCTTTATCCAACTGCTGTAACTGCAGCTCTTCATAGATGACAAAATATTTTGGTCAGAAAATGCCTGAGGAAGCTACGAAATGTGGGAACAGCAGCAGTATTAGATATTGGATAAAGATACAATGCTAATGGGATATACTACTGAAATTACTCTTACTGCATTGGGTTAATATTCAGCTGCTGTTTTCATTTTCGTCTTTCCTCCCGCAATTGGTACATTCAATCTTGTCCTTTTATGTGAGCCATCCTTAATCTCATCCTTAATCTTCTGCAAGTCTGCTGATTTTCCGATGGTTTGGGGCCTGTTATTGCTTTACATTTTTCTTTTAAATAAAAAAGCTGATGTTTTATTAAAGCAAAGTTTTCTCCAAGTTGTTTCACATACAAATAAAAAATAAATGTTAACAAAGAACCAATAATGATAAAAGACACATTCTAAAATTAAAAAAAATTGTGCAGAATATGATCCCCTGCAAAACATGGACACATTTCTCTGATGGCTACTGCTAATTTTACATCACTGGGGTAGACCAGTTTAGAGTATTGTGAAACTGAAGCCTGAAAGACATTTTGGTAGCCACAGTGTCTTTTGTGACAAAAATTTTTCTAGGATGATAGACTTTTTAACAGCTAGAACAGATATGAAGACACAAGATGCCAAACTGCTGGGTGGTATGGCATCTCTCCTCTCAGGATCTTTATGAAATGTACTTACTTTATTTTACAAAATTGTTTTTAATTTTCAGGTGGTTTGAACCATTTGTCATTCAGTGGCTGGATGAAAATGAGGATGTCTCAATGGAATTTCTTCATGGAGCACTAGAAAGAGACAAAAAAGATGGGGTGAGCCTTTACTTTTTAAAGAAAAGAATAAAGAAAGTATGAAGACAGTTATTTAGTATTGCAAAACCAGAAGTACATTTGGTCCCACGGTATCCTTCTTAGACTTCACAAGATACGCGGTCAGTAACAGTTTTTGGAAGATAACCCTATGGGCAAATTCCTGCTCTAATTCCATCTGCCTAAATTCCCCATATGGTTTCACTAAAGTCTGATATGATACTGATGTCATGAAAGAGAATTTTGGTTTTATTTTTAAGAGGTTTGAAAGTAATAGAAATGTGAAAAGCCACATTTCTCAGTATTATCAGTGAGACTTTTTTTTTCAAATTTATTTTTTGTTTATTACTTTTTATGACTCTAGGAAGAATTTCATGTGTAAGAAAATCAGTTAATACAGTTTTGATCTCTGAACAAGTTAACTCATTTGAATGTTTCTCTCTAGTTTCAGCAAACATCAGATCATGCCCTCTTTTCTTGTTCTGTGGTTGATGTCTTCACACAGCTCAATCAAAGCTTTGAGATTATTAGGAAACTGGAGTGTCCTAATCCAGAAGCACTATCTCATTTAATGAGAAGATTTGCGAAGGTAAATTAAAATCGATGCATCTCAACTAAGTTTCAGAGAGTGACATTGTGTTGCCACGTACTTAAAAGCAAATCCCAATGTTGTTTAAAATCAATCTCTTGTATTTTTGACCGGGATCCTTAGAAAGACACGCTGTCTGTGTCTTAAGACTGTGTTTCATCTACTTTGTCAAAATAATTTACCAGTTTGAGAAGTTCTATCCTCTCTGAGATTTCATATTTATATATGTTATACAATCTATTATTATTCTAGCTAAGCACTGATTTCAATTCCATTAATGAAGCAATTCAGTGAAATGCAATTATCTAATTAGTCAGTGCAAGGGAAGGAAAAATTCAGGGTATGGCAATAAAGTATTGCTGGTTGAAGCCCTGAGGTGGTAGTTCTTATTCATCTGCTGTTTGATAAACTCAACTTTGTTAGGCCAGCTTTCTATTTGGATTGTAACATTTCTTCACAAGCTTTAGGTTTCTATTACAGCCCTGATGGCTTTAAAAAAGTTTGCATTTACATTTATTCCTGTTCTTCAATTGCAACAGTTTTCCATTTGCAAAGTTCCTATTTACATGATTATTGTAAGGCAAGCTCATTATTGCCAGGCTTTAAACGGTGCTCCCTTGGTCTTATTTTTCCATTATCTTTTTAATCTATGCATTGTCACCCTAGAAGATTTTTTGAGCTTGTTACTGTTCCATTAAGTATGTAGCACGTTGCAAGGAGTAGAGCTCTCAATGCTTCTCAAAAACTGTATGACTAAAATTAAAGTATCTCTGCTATCGAAGATTACATTCCATTAAAACAATCCACCATCTGTTGTGCAGGGATTGGAAAATGTGCTCACATGATTGTTTATGTTATATCTAAAAAAATACTATATACTAAATGTGTAAGCACCTGTAAAATCTATAATTTATATAAACCTCCTTTTTTGTGTTTTTTTTATTATTTTTGTTTTACATGATGAAATTTACCACTTAAAAGATTCTTCTCCTCTCCTAGACTATCAACAAAGTTCTTCTTCAGTATGCTGTAATTATTTCAAATTACTTCAGCTCATATTGTGATAAAGAAAACGTGGTGAGTAAAAAGCTCTGTTTTGTTTCTGCCTCAGAAATTACCTTTAAATGACTTACTGTACTTTTTGAAAATGTAATCACTTTTGTGTATGAGAAGAAGCATGAAGGGAGGAAGGGATTTTTGTTTTGCTTTGTTTTTTAGTAAGGTCAGCATGTTTTCATAGCTGCTTACATTGCTGTGTAAAAGCTGGAATAGGTGGCATTAGCTAAGAATCCTAGTTAATAATTTCAGTATTAAAGTAGAAAAAAACTTACAAGATAGCCAGAAACACTCACTGGATAACAGCCTTATACAATGGTGAATATGGTGAATATATCTTCATCTTTTTTTCCAAACAGAAGAAAATATTTTTGTTTGCGTTTTCATTTTGCATTCGCTTGCTTCTTTTTATCAATTTATCATGAGAAAGTTTATAAGATCATTGTTCCCTGTGCAGGGAGTGTGTGCAGACTTTTCTGCTACTACCAGTCACTCTCTGTGCTTTATCCACGCAGCAGTGAGAAGAAAATCATGTGCTATTTTGTTGCCTTACTGCTTACAAAGGACTCCCTGATGAAGGACCAGAAATAAAGGGGTTATGGACACTAAAGATGTGGTTAAGCAAATCAAGACATTATCAATAGCTTAACATGACCAAGGAAAACTGTTCTTGTAAACTGACTTTTCAGTATCACTGATATTCAATCAAAGCTAGTACTCCCAAGGCAGGCAACGTTTAGTGCTATGTCTGCTATATTTAGTAGTATGTATCAATCTACAGTTAGATAAATAACTGCAGCACCATCCTCATACTATTCATGTTTAAAAGTACAGCCCTTATATAGCTTATACACAGATTTCAGCTATATTTGTCACATCCCTGCGCATGGCTCGAGGACACACTCATTCTTGCCAGTGCTCTCTGTAGTGTGAGACAGTGTCATAATCTAGAGGTCACCAACATATACACAATAATAGAATTCAGGAAGACATCTATTGCAGCTAAATATCAATTATTGGTGGTTCTTCTTATGAGCAATATTACAAAAGACTAAACTTACTAATTTTTCAGGCCACAGATATATTTGCTAGGAGAGACTTATACCATTCTGTTCCTTTTACACAATTTTGACTAAAATAGAATTAATAAATAAAAATACCAAACTCAAAACTTTATTATTAAGTAGAAGTTTTATATACAAGTTTTTATAGAGAAGTGACTTTTATTTATATAGATGTGTCATGTCTCAGATTTAACTTTCCACTCCACATATTTTCAACTTCGAAGCCCTTTGCATGCAGTGAACACATTGAAAAGACTCACCTTAGTAGATATCTACACATCTTTCTTCTGGCAGAACTAAATCTTTTCAGCATCTGAAAAGGGTAAAAGTACCAGGCCAAGTTTGGCAATCATTGTGTAAGAAGAATCTGTCTTATAGCTGTAGAAACACTAGGAAACATGCCAGTTTAGACTAGACTAGACTAGACTAGACTCTTTCAGCTGGAAGGGACCTACAACAATCATCTAGTCCAACTGCCTGACCAATTCAGGGCTGACCAAAAGTTAAAGCACGTTGTTAAGGGCATTGTCCATATGCCTCTTAAACACTGACAGGCTTGGGGGATCGACCACCTCTCTGGCAAGCCTGTTCCAGTGTTTGACCACCCTCTCAGTAGTGCCAGTGTTTGACCACCCTCTCGGTAAAGGAATGCTTCCTAACATTAAGCCTGAACCGCCCCTGACGCAGCTTTGAACCATTCCCATGCATCCTGTCACTGGATACCAGTTGATATATGATAGATAAGCACACCACATTGCCAGTTTTTTTCCCCATAATCTAGCAGGATGTAAATCTTCATGCATTTTTAACTTTACAGGTACACCTTCTGTATATTCCTTACTTCTCTCCCCTCCAGGGCAAATACAGAGCTGAAAACAACACAACACTCTCTCCCCAGTATGAAGGAGTGAATGCATTACACATCATCTACTTTAACGTTAATCAGGCCAAACCAAGCTTCATCTAAAATAATCTGTCTCTGTATTTGACCCAATATGAGCCATAACTATTCTAAAAATTTAATGTAAGAAATAATTTTGTAGCTATGTTTTTCCATTTCTTTCAATTTAATGCTAATATGAAAAAAAGCTTACTGCTTTCTAGACGAAATGAGTTTTAATACATAGTGTTGAGTCATCAAGTCAAACTATTTGTGTAGGTTTTTGGCCTGTCCAATGGGATTTTTTTAATTGTTGGAGTGATTGATTTCTGAAGTCACCCTGGTATGCCAATCTTTACTAAAGCTTTAGATGGAATTAATCTCATTATGATATAAAGTATTATATCAAATGCCTTTGGGGGACATAACTTATTTTTAACAGAAGCTACCTTTTTGAAATACATACTTTTAGCTTAATAAAAGACCATTTGATCTGATGATCTCTATTATATTAGAAGTCCATCTTCTGCATTAGAGTTGATAGAAGAGATTAAAACAAATACTTTTTATTATTAAAGTTAGATTTTGGCATTCTTTTTCAAGTCAATACTTCTAATATTTTTATTAAACACTATAAAATGTGCACATAAATTGTTCAAATAAAAGCATACCAAAGGTGCTTTTCATAAAGACATGTATCTAATGTAAAAACATCTTCTTATCTTCCACCTCCTGTCAGGGTTTACAAACAAACCTGGTTTAAAACCACTTGCCACTCACTTTTATGTGTTGTTACATCTGGCTGTCTGATTCCTGTAAATTGCTGCAAAGAGTATTCTGAAAGACAAGATGATAATGAAATAATCAGATGAGAATGTTTTTAAGCTCCGGTTCTGTTGTTTACTGACAGCAATAGAAATTTTTCCATTGAGGCTTAGGCTCTGAAAGAGCAACCTTAGCTAGCCTCAAAGGAAACCTTGAAAACTGCCTTAGTATGAAGTATTTATCTCATAGCTTCAGTATATTGCCAAAGGCGTTTGCACTTGTTTTGAACGAAAGAACCAAGATGTTATATTCAGCTACTTATTCCCTCATCAGAAATCATAATAATTGATTTGTGATATTGCAGGTAATTTCCAGAATAATGAATGTGTCAGAAGAGAGGAGATAGCACAGGAGAGGAGGACACAGTCTTAGTGATCATAAATTAATAGAAGGTAGATAAACAAATAGAAGAAGTGGGGTTTGTGGATTTTTCAAGAGACAGGAAGAGAGGCGATATTTCAACCATTATCAAAGCCAGCTGTCTTTTGTAGGAGGCCAAATAGCATGCTTTACTGGGAAGCAGTAATGTAAGTATTAAGAAGACAGATCAAATTTCTTTTTTTTCCTTCAGTTGAGGATGCTGACACCAAATTCCTTTGAGAGTAATGTAGAACTAATGAAGCTAAATTATGTTATTGATCTTTTGAATACCAAAATCTAATCCCACCATGTTTCAGCACTACATTGGAACATGTTGTTAACTAGAAAGGTTCAAATGAGTATCAATCACTGTAATCATTCCATCACCTTCTTGTTTTCTGAAAAAAGTATACGTGTTTTATTGAAATGCATTACTTCAGTGTCTAAATTAGTCCAATCATGCACTAGAACACACTGACCTTGGCCAACCAAGGCTACTCTTTTAGCAAGTATTGTTTTATTGCTTCCCACGCACCATATCAAACTAGCATATAATGTAATCTGAGTACACAAAATCCTAGTAATAGATCCTTTCTTCAATAAGTTTGTAATAAGCTGCTTAATTTTATCCATGTTTTACTTTTTACTTTATATTTATCCAGCAATTGCTGTCTTTTACACTGTGGCTGTGTGTTCTGCCTTAAAGAAATGAGCTTAAACAGCAATATTTTTAGACTAAAATAATATGTTTACAAAATTCTATTGCCTAATTCATTCACCAACTTTTCAAGCAATGCAAAGTGTACATTTCTGAAATATTATTCTTTTATTAACAGAACTGCCTGTTGATTTATTAAAATACTTAAACATCAGCCATTATCTGGGTTACAGTGCTGTCACAGTTTTCTGCAAAGACTGGCTCTAGAAAGCAATCTGGCATTCCCTTTCCCCCAGTCTATTTTCACTCCCAAAGTACTTTGATCATTATTGTGTCTACTCTCAAAGAGACGGTAATGTACTACTTGCATTAATCCACTAGATGTAATCGTATTAAATATGACTAGCAACTACATGGGATAGAAGGTTCAAGACGTGAAATACTGGGCTCTGAAAACTGCCCCGCTGGTTGGGAGAAGGTGTTCAGTTTCCTGTGGGGCAACACTGTCTTAAGGGCATAATGGGCAGTGGCTGGGGGGGTTTGCTGACTGGGCAAAGAGGAGTGTGAATTAAAGAAGGAAGGGGAGGCAGCAGTGGTCAGGAACCTGAGATCCTCCTCTAAAAAACACAATTGCATGAATGTAGGGCTGCTGAAGAACTGGTTTTCAGCCCAGAGGCTGTGAATACACATATTCATACATAAAAGGAACAAAACATGCACATTCTCAATTTGGTGCTCTCTTTATAGCCCTGTATCTTGATGAACAACATTCAACAATTAAGAGTCCAGCTTGAGAAAATGTTTGAGTCCATGGGAGGAAAGGAGGTGAGTCATATTTGTTTCCTGGTTCATTCAAAGTTCCTTAGAGATCATTAGCATCATGTTTTCAACCTTGTCACAGCCTTCGCCTCTGCTTACGAAGAAAATCAAAATGTTTTAAAAAAAAAAAGTCCACAAGAACTATTTAATGTCCTGACAATACTAGAAAGATCTAACACTGTTTCACAGAAACATGCTAATGATCTGTAAAGTTCAGCTAGCACTGGGTGTTTTGTGTTGTAATCTGTAGTGCCAGCTTTATTTTAATGTTTGTATTGGATTATACTTTGCTTTTTTTATGTATTGGTACGTTTTGCCTGTATCTGAAAATTTTGTAGAATACGTGCTTTGTGCTTTGTCTGTAATGTGTCATGTCTTTGTCTAATGCCTTTGACTTGCAATCCACTGAGCAGAAGAAAGAAGGAGAGAGATTCTCTTATGAGGTTTGTGATAGTAAGCATCTTTTATTATTCCTGACCATATTTTCTAAGGCTAAGAACAGTCACATTTCCTACTAATTTCCATTGATGCATTTGTGTAATTCCCTATGATCTAAAGTCAAAAAGAGCTATGCTTGGGCATTCAGTTGACACTCTAAATTGAAAAGTTTTACCACGCAAGTAGTGTAAAGTCTTTCAGAATTTCTAAAAAATCTATAAAACATTTTTTAAGTGCACTTTTCAGTAGCTGAGGGCCTGCTTGTATTCAGGATTTGATACCATTTCACCAAAAGCTGCTACTCAACAGTCTAGAACTAAGGCCTAGCCTTACCTTCTTTTATATTTCAGAAGACTTAAAAGTACCTGAAGTCCTGTCAACAGTAAAAGGACATAAACATGTGCTTCAATACTTTACTGATTGTAGTCTTTGACTGTTTTGAAAAGGTAATGAAGAAATGAACATCTTTTCAAACTACAGAATCCTGTCTTCTTGTTAAAAAGCAATGTTTAGATCATGAATATACCACCCTTATTCTCCGTAGCTGGCTTTAAAAAAGAAGTTACACATACATCAGCTTTTTCTTTTTGAGATTCTTGTTTGATAGTTTCACAAAACTTTGATCTAATGTAACCACACTATAGAGAGAATTGGAAAATACATTATTTCATATTTCCACATCTACAGTGGGACGCTGCAGAGGTAAGATAGTCCCCTGTGTCATGCAGTGAATAACACTTTCCAAATGAACCTACAGATTAACTCCATGGTGAGGAGGTTTCGTTGAGCTAGTAATAGCTTCTTGAAGCTGCCATGGCAAAAATACTTTCTGCTCCAGAGAACATGAAATAAACTTCTGCAGCCTTGTCGTCATTGAAAATTTCATATCAAACTTTAAAAATACGTATTTATCATCCAGACATGGCTATGTTTTTTCTGGTTACTATTAATGCCCTTTCACTCTCCAAATATTACAAATAATCTTGTCTTCCATGCTGTTATGTTCTGTGCAAAGTACTTTTGTATTAAGGTCTTGGATCCAATCCTACATGTTGAATATCATGAATCATAAAAACATCTAAGTTTCCATAAATCCTGATGAAGACAAGGGCAGAAGAAAGCTGAGAAGCACTTTAAGTCTGTATCTATCAAATTATTTTCAAATCAGAATATTTTCTTGAATCTCCAAAATGTTCCATTTTACTCAAGAAAATATTCGTTTCCCTTTTGCTCCCAATAGCTTATATAATAAAAAAAACCCCTAAAAAAATAATTAGGGTTTTTCATAGCAGTTTTTTTTCAAAATCTCTTATCACTTCTTATCCTTATTGCTTTCCCTTTTGATGTTTATGAGGATGAATTATTAAGGGTGTTACAGTATCAAAACAATATTTCCTACAAATGTGGTGCAACATGCAATCCTTGGAAAGAATTCGGAGATATTTTTCTAAAATCCCTTTGTTAGGTACCTTAAGTGCATCTCTGATTCATGGTCTAAGAAAAAAAGATCTAAAAAATACATTCAAAGTTTTTTTTTTTCCTCATTAGGGGAATTTCTTGAAGAAAAGTACATTCATGTTCAATTTTTTGTCACCCATATCAGAGTGCCCCTAAAATGTTTGTCCTCAAACTGGAATACTTATTCCCCTAGCTATTTCAAGAGCATAAACGCTAATGGCCAGTTTGCCTTATTGAACTGGTACTTATAAGAAACAAAGCCAGCAATAAAATCTGTAAGCAGTTTCCTTGCAGGGAGAAAATAGTCTAGTGTTTTGCTTGTGGAGGGCATAAAAAGTCAGGTGATCTTCAGCGGAATAATGAGACCTATTTCAGTTGAAGCAAAACTAATTCTGAGAAAAATTAAATGCTGTTAATCTCCTCAGTGTCACATTGTGAGCAGTATGTCTTTCAAACTACGCAGTCAGAATACCACAACCAAGCAGCAGTCCCTATGTTCACAGTAGGCCTATTGCATGTTGCGGCGCAGGGAGATCTATAAATAGAGAAAAAACTGGGCTCTCAGCGCTCCTGCCATTAAAATATAATAGTCTGAACAATATGAGTTTCTTTATTAACTCTCCTCTTCTGCTGTAGCCAAGCAGGAAGGGTACCTAAAAAATTATATAAGTGAGATCAGTCTGCTGTAATAGAGAGTAGTAAAGTGGAATCCAACCCACTGTCTTTTTTTTTTAAATTAAGTCCAAAATCATGGGAACAGATTATCATAATGTAGAATTTTTGTTTAGTTCCTGTTTATTTCATCCAAAAGGAGTGCATATATTTGCACTAAATCATTTTTTCATGTCTTACAAGTTGGAAGCTGATAAAAGGAAACAAAAATGTTAATGCTTGTGTTGCGTTTCACCAGATGGCAGAACATGGCAGAAATGAGTTACAGCAATTAGGATCAAAAAAAAGGTGGAAAGGAAAAGCAGGTTGTTTATGTACAACGCTATTACATTGACTGTAGGCCGCACCTCGAATCCTGTGTTCAGTTTTGGGCCCCTCACTACAAGAAGGACACTGAGGTGCTGGAGCGGGTCCAGAGAAGAGGCAACAAAGCTGGTGAAGGGTCTAGAGAACAAGTCTTATGAGGAGCGGCTGAGGGAACTGGGGCTGTTTAGCCTGGAGAAGAGGAGGCTGAGGGGAGACCTCATCACGCTCTACAACTACCTGAAAGGAGGTTGTAGCGAGGTGGGGGTCGGTCTCTTCTCCCAAGTAACTAGCGATAGGACGAGAGGAAATGGCCTCAAGTTGCGCCAAGGGAGGTTTAGACTGGACATTAGGAAAAACTTCTTTACTGAAAGAGTGGTCAGGCCTTGGAACAGGCTGCCCAGGGAAGTGGTGGAGTCACCATCCCTGCAAGTATTTAAAAGACGTGTAGATGAGGCGCTTAGGGACATGGTTTAGTGGGTATGGTGGTGTTGGGTTGATGGTTGGACTCAATGATCTTAGAGGTCTTTTCCAACCTTAATGATTCTATGATTCTAAATCGTATTTCCTCTCAGGGAAATTCAGTTCCAACTTTACATGTAATGCTTAGGAATTCCTGTAGGAATCTATATGTGGTCCTAAAGACTTTGGTGGGATAACAGAGGCCTAGACTTAAGCAGAATAGTTCTGAAGTGTCCATCTTTAAATCTGTTAATTCAGAGGCCTAAGTATTTAGAGCAGTGGCAGCCAAACATCTCAAAATGGGATTCACTGTATCTAGATCGTGGGGCGGGGCGGGGGGAAGGAAGGATGATGTCTGTCAGAGACAAAAAGAACCACTAAAGGGACGGATCTGATAAACACCTGTATATTCCCTAGATGTACATACAATGTGCAAAACTATTTTCTGAGCGAAGTAACCAGGTGGTCCCATTAGGAAACTATAAGCAATTAGACCTGTGAAATTGCAGACAAATGGAATTCCGATTAAAAAGGTTCCCTTTAACTCATGCAAAAGTAATTTGCATCTCTGTAGTTTTCTATAGAAACACTACCAATTAACAAGATTATGTCCATACTAGCACACATTAAATTACAGCATGGAATAGCTCAATCTAACACATTATATTGAAAGCAGCCAAATTCATCAGATCTTTAACTCTTTTCCAAGGCTTGTATGTATAAAAAAATTCACAGTTTTAGACAGGCAGCATTTGGAAACGATGTTCAAATATTTCTTATTTCTTATTTTTTCAGCTGTTCAGCAAAAGTATTCTCTGCTTTTGATAAGCATTCAGAAAAACTCAAACCTCTAATTATCTATTTAATAATCCATAATTAACAGATCTTATGAAGTGTGCCAACAAATATATGAGTATGTTCTGTTGTGGGTAAAAATTAACTCTATTATTTAAGAAGATGGTAAAATAACAGAAATATTTAGGAACCTGAGAAAGCCAAGCAAATGAAGAATTGGTAGAAAAGTATGATTTAAACATTAACAGGTTAATAACATTTTCACTACCAAAATAAGTTTGCTCTTTAAAAAAATCCGGAGTTTGACACCCGAGCAACCTACAGTTTATTTTAAGACCAGCCCACACCTGCTGTGAACTGTAAATGGAACCCAAGAAGCTAAGGGGTAAATGGTCTTTTCTCTCTTTCGATTCTTGAATTAGATATGGCACATTAATTACATTCATCTTTTTTTCCCCCAACAATAATCTGCTCAGTTAGGGCTTTTTTTCTTTTATTTTCCTGAAAAATTGCTCAGGCATGGTTTTTTTTTCCTTCTTCATCAAACTCTATGGAGCAGATGAGACTCAAGGCAAAAAAGAAAAGTCCCCCATACTGTAGATACTTCATTTTCATGTCTGTATATCCCTATGTGACATCTTCTCAGATGCTGATGAGCATTGCCTTTTGCCTCACTTTCATGCTTTCCTTCTGGTTGATTGCAAAGTAGGGTAACACTAGGGCTAGGTTAGCCCTGTAATTCTTCATTTAATCACATCTGGGTGGCTGAGACTTCTGCAGCTGAGCGTGTTTGTATCTATTTACTTAAACTGCTACTAGCAGCAACTAGTATGAAGAATTACAGATTGCATTTACCTGAATTCTTACACACTTCCCTTCCCATAATAACTCTGCACTATCCAGAAACAGATTGGCTCATGAAACAGAGATGGTTATTTTTATCATTATTCCCTTGCTAGTAAATAATCTCAGCCAAGTCAAGAATGCTGAGGACTTCTCTTGGTCACTGGAAAGCCTTAGATAAATGAATTAATCTCTCCATCACTGATTTGCCTCACTGGGAAACTTACCTCCTTCACATAGTGATTTTGAGAGCTATGTGTTACTGCCTCAAGTAGTGAGTGTTGTGATGTCAACCTGCATAAGTCTTGCAGCTTGTTAACTTCATTAAGCCAAACTATTTGCACAGTGCTATAGTGCATTTCCCACACAATACTTTCCTGAGAACAAGAAAACCTGGTATAAAATGCATTTGCAGGAGTTGTTCAAACCATTGCTGAAATAATAGATCCTTCCAAAGCACAAATAAAATTCCTTTTTGAGCTTGTTGTTGCAAAACTGTGATATTTTTGCACAATGTAGTCATGTTGTGAACTACAGCCTTTTAGAATATTTAAGAGTAAGACAGTAACCCTTCCTACTTCCACTGAAATTTTTTTTTCTAAAGGTTTTGTTTTTTAAGTAAGGCATCATAGCTGAACATATTTTTCCTATTAAAAAGTCAGTGGATTAATTTATGCATAAAAGACAAGTTATACAGAATATAATCCACAATAGTTAGTGTGTGTGATGTGCTGATTTACCTTATCTCCACTGCACAAGGCCATCCTAAAACCATCTTTACCAGCTGTGAAGTCGCCCCAGAATTTCATAGTACAGAACCATCATAATAGTTCCCATCTTAGCTGTACCATATCAGAAAAAAAAGCAGGTCATGGCTGTGGTGTATTTGGATGATGCCAGTCAAGGGCTGATGCCTTTGGACCCTCTGATTTGCCCTGGGAACTCACTAGCACATAGAGGGGAAGTGGAAAAATAAATGAAAAGTGCACATTTTAGTCCTGGTGAGACACTCAAATTGCCATATTTTCCAGTAGTTAAACGAAAATAACAATAGCAATAAAAATTTTGCTGACATATTCTTAGTCACCACATCACCAGGTGTCTAGCACCTGGATGGTCAGCCCGCATACCTCTTTGTATTCCCCTCCTCCTTATGACACTGCATTAATGAGCACGAGCATGCGTATACGCAAGGCTGGATGTCCTGCCCAATGCCTCCAGCTGTGCACACACAAACTTGTTCATGCAATTTGTGAGCACAAAGCCCTCTAAAACGTCTAGCACTTGCATGCACCTTTCTATGATGTGTGTTATGTCCACAATCTGATATTAGTATTTAATCCAATTTTGGAGAAACTAAGTCCAATTCCAGGTGAATTTAGCAAAAATATTGTGTTTTCTGGTTATCACAACAACCTCTGTTAGAAAGTAACTACATTGGCCTCTTTAACAAGATGATTCTCTGGTTTGTGCATGATCTGGTAAGAAATTTTGAGTCTTATGCCTGCCTGGTATTTTTGTGCTTTCTCTGATATGTACCACGTTCAGTGTGAATGCTTGTGTGTTCAGTATTTGTTAAATGTTAATATTCCAGTGGTCTTAAATCTGTGTTCTGTATGTTTCCCACCAAAGGAGGGAGTATAATTCCCTAGTGAAATGCATTTCCTGGAAAAATCTTTGCCTTTGTTAGTAAACTCTATCTTTGTTAACTAATATAGACATTTCAGTAAAATTAGCTTTTTTTATCCCTGCTTTTCATGTGAAGGAAAATAATCACTTTAAGTGTATGACCTGTCAGAGTGTATCTGCCAGGGAAACTACTAAGACATGAAGTGGAGAAGCCACAGAACTTCTCTCAATGCAAAGTAATTAAAAACTAAATCAGTAAGTAGTCACAGTGTTAAAATATAAGCTTCTCAGTTTAGAAAAGTGTTACACATCACTGAGTATCTTCTAAGGGATGTATGGTAATTCCCCTTGTCACCTATTTCAGATTTTTGTCAAAAACTGTAATGAAAATCTTGGATTTTTCTATGCTTTTAAAGCACACACAACTTCTAAGGAGAAAAAGGATGGTGTAAGATCAGAACACAGTAATCTTTGAGGGTGTTTCAGAGTTTGTTTTTTCTTTGCTTTGCCTTAGAGTCCCTGTGTCTCATGTAAGTTATCCAACGTGCTGTGACAGCTTCCCCTTGTCGCTGAAGTGTGATTAAAAGAGCTGACCTACTGCACCATAGTACTCTGAAGCATCAAATGAAGGATAAGCACTAAACACTACTCGTGCAGTTGGAAGATATGAAAGCGCAAATAGAGACAGACCTGATTATGTATTCTAAATGCGCAATTTCCCGTGTCAGAAGATCTGTGTCTGACCTTACTGCAGAACAGAGCCCAGAATTTGAGGATTATCATTGAAAATCATTCCCCAACATTGTGATATAAATAGCTGAAAGTCCTGGAACATCAGCTATTAATTCACATTCAGCTGTTGATCCTGATGATCATCAATCATATCCCACAACGGACTGTAACTATTTTTCCTAAATGCTAAAAGCTCAAGGAGACAAAAAGTCAATTTTTTTTTTTAATTTGAAAAAGAATGCATAGCAAATAAACAAGGTGCTGATCAATATCAAGAGTACCTTTTTTATTAAATATCTATGCATGGATCCCCATCCCTGTAAATGTAAAACTGTATTTCTCCCCTGTATTCTCTTTTTTCCTATGTTTAGAAAACCTGTATCAGAGGTACAGGAGCTGTTCTCCCTGTGCATCAGAATGTGTTGCACTGTGCTTGAATTATGTATGTCCTAAAGGCTTTTAGAAACAGAACTACTGAAACTCAATAGATTCCCTTCCCTCATACTATATCAGTAGAAGCAGCATGGATAGTCTTCAAGCCATCTTTCCCAGTGCTGGCTGTTCTACTTTTATGCTGCATTAACGGGAATATGGAAACATCTTCCACACAAATCACAAAAAAGTTACCGATGATGGTGAAATGTACAAAAAAAAATTAAAAGACAAAAACATCTGCAGTATTATTAACACAAACACTACATTCTCATGCATCCTTCTCTTGGGATGCCTTGTGAATACCGTTTGCCTGATAATGGTAGTTCTATTCTTGTGACTGCCAACACGATTTGCACCATCCCATAGAAAGCCATTGTTTGATGGCACAGTTTTGATTTCTAACGATGTAATTCTTCGCTATTACAATCAAATATTTTCCTTTAAATGGTAATTGGATTTTTAGGCCTACTAAAGCAATCCTGTGTTGTTAGAGGTGTTTCCACATTTGGTTGTCCATGGTGCCGTGTATCATTGCACATAATTCCTAATTCGTTAATTGCAATGGAAAACCCAAAACCAAGTAAAATATAACATTACTTATCTCTTTGCAGTTGGATCCTGAAGCTAGTGTTGTTCTCAAAGAACTTCAGGTGAAACTTAGCAACGTATTGGATGAACTCAGCGTAATGTATGCTGCAAGGTAACAAACCTATTTTACTGCAAACCTCAGAGAAATATTCCTGTTCAAAAATCTGCCTTGTCTGGGTGGTTGTTTGGATGTCCTGAGGTACAGCTTGCTTCTGCCCTGATGAAGTGGTGTGCATTTGTGTGTGTGTATGTGTTTAGACTCTGAAACATATAGCAATAACCTCACTGTAAAGAAAACTGAAAATGGTCTGTGGGCATGAACGTGTTACAGAGGTGAGGCTGATGACTTTTGTTCTGCTTTTTGGAAAACAAAAATTGCTGCTTTGTTCTTGCCAGGTGCCGTGTTAAACTTCTCTCTCTGACCATGTTTATGTTACTTCTTGAGACTGACAGCTTTTTCCAAGTGGCCTGCTTCAACCAGGCATGTCTGCCTGTGTTTAGCCTGCTTCAAATGGTCACTGTGAATGGCTTTCTTGGGTCATTTGCTTGCCTGTGGCTCTGCAAAAAATGTCTACTGAGCCTTACTCTCAAAATCTTACATTAATCGGAGTGCACACTGCAGTCTTGAATGAGTATGGCGCTGTGCCAGCAGTGCCTGTGCTATAAGAAGCTGCAAGTTATTTTTGCTTCAAATTAGAAAGGAATCTAAGAAAGAGGGATTAGTGCTGTAGTGGTATTCATTAAGCAAAGTCTGCAGTTGCTTATTTAATTCATCGATGAACAATCTGGGTGGATAGTGTTCACTTTTTCTCAGTGTGCTTAATTTGTCATATTGTCTTGCTTTATTTTTGCTCCCAGGCCCTGGTTCTCTTATTATTGACAGTGAATATTATTTCTTTCTGAATATGCCGACTAGGTTTCTGCCAAAGAAAGCCCAGGAATAGTTCAATCTAGGGTATGCTCCAGATAGCTAGAACAGTTTATTGCTGGGGTTTGTGAAGTTAACAACGTTAGAAAGATGGCTAATGTCAAGAAAAGCCAATGCAGTATTTTGGCTTTTATTGGAGGGACTGGTCCCAAGGATTTACATGAGCAGCTTCAATAGCAGCTTCATGGTGATTTTACCTAGGGCTTTGAAGTGTGTAGGTAAGTACACATCCAAGTGTACTTGGAAAAGTTTCCAATTTTTCCAGTGTTTTCACATGGAAATTTGTGTTCTTCTTTTATGATTAGCCACGTAGCTGGAACAGCTTACTGCCTAATTACAATGGGTTTTTTCCCTCATAATAAATTCTCCTTCACTTTCCTCAAGTTAATCTTTGCCATTTTTCTTTTCACATTAGTAGGCCTGGTATATTTATGGCCTCGGTTTTGCATTTCTGTTCATAAACTAATCCTAAACCAATTCAATTCCTCATAAATCAATTCATAAGCCAAATTACCATGTGTGCGGAGCCTTATTCTGCCTCTGAACTGTTGTCTCTGATTAACTGCTGTTCTGCATTGTTTAAGTATATTGACCGAAGACTGTATCACATCAATGACACTACAAGTCTGTCAGACACGTTGCTCAACCAGATCAGTTAGGAAACAGAACAGTTTTCAGAAAAGCTGAACAGATACAACTTGAGGAGCAAGAATTTGTTCACGCTCACCTTGAAGTGGAAAAAGATTCCTTCCAGGAGGAAGAGTCTAACTATTTCTTAGTGGGGTTTTTTTGTTTTTGTTTTTTTTTTTGCGAAAGAATATTTTAAACAGTCCAAATGTTTTAGCTCTGTCTAGTTGCAAAGAAATAAGCAAAGCTTTTGATGGCACTGACTCTGTGTGAAACCTGGGAAAAAGTCAAATTGAGCCACAGGACAAAATCAGTAGAAGTTTTCTATTTGGACTCAAGAAGAAAGTTCATATTAACCATCAAGAGAAAAATAATTTATAGTCGCCTGTTCCTGTTGTCCTTTCACACCAAAAATAAAATCTTGAGAAGTTGTTGCTAGCTGGGAGTCAATCATACCCTAAACTACAGATTCTGAAACATCTATTGCTTTCAGAAAATAATTAGTTGGGCATGAAAAGCATAATGACAGAACGGAAACAAGGGGGGGGGGAATCAAAACAGTACATGAATTAGTTACGTAAGCTATAATCCTTAGGAAGAGTTATTTTCAGTCTGTAACACCTGCAGTATCTTGCGTTTGTGAACTTTCCATCTTTGCAGAAAAGATTTAAATCTTGTTGAAGAACCTGATGCAAAATGATGTGTTGTTTTCTATCCTAGAATTCTTTCATTCTCTTTTTTTGGTTTGTTTTTTTTTTTTTTAATCCTGTAGTTTCCAATTTATTATTGAAGATTGTGTAAGACAAATGAGCAATGAACTGAACCAAATGAGAGGAAATGGGAATGCAGCAGCCAATAAGAACAGTGCGGCCATTGATGCCGAGATTGTGCTTCGGCCTCTCATGGATTTCCTGGACAAAACGTAAGTGTGGCAGATTAGGAACTGGATGCTACAGTCAGGCATACTTGGTTTTACCCTGAAGCATCATTAATACCTAGAAACACTCTGTAGTGTTTTTAATATTTGTAGTATTCACATGTGTGCAGAATACTATGCTTAAAGTGTTAACTTATACTAAGCAATTTCTATGTAAGCTACATATTTGCCTTGTCGTGTTTGGAGTCATTACAAAGGAGCTAGCGTATGTCTCTCCTCCACAAGCTGTGGTATAAAGAAGATTGTACTGAACAAGAACAAAAGTAAATTCCCTATACTGAAATTGTCTGGCATTTGTTCTAGGCTGGCACCCAGTGTCCCCCTGCTTATTAATATGCACTTCTGTGTCCCCAAAAACCTGGTCACCATTTGAAGATTTACAGAGCAGCTTGATTTTTTTCAGTCAGTAAAAAGCTAAATTTTGAAATAGTCCTGCAAACTCACTCTGGGCCCTGAAAGTAAGGGTATCTTGTCTTCTCATCATCCAGCAGAGACAGGATCAGCTGTTCTGAAAGGCCATGTGCAGCACAGGCACATCTATCAGCACCTCACTGTCCTTGGTCATGTCATTACTGGTACTTGTGAAACACCAGTGGCCTTTTACTGGAAGTGACTGTGAGAACAAGCAGCACGACGCTGATCCCATGCTTCAGGTCTCCAGTCACACATACATGAGTTACGTACCCTTGAACCTTTTGGTTCCTTATGCCTATTTCTCGGAGCCAGACATTTTCAAAGTGAAGGTGGAAAAGGTGTGCTGAGGGAGAATCTTAAGGGAGAGGCATAACCAGGAGGAAGTGGCTGGGCAGGACTGGGGTTAAGGCTGGAGCTGTGCTGAGAAGGTACGAGGAAGAGGCTGAGCCAGGCAGAGAGCAGGCTCAGGGAAGCCTGTGGCTTCCAGAAGCCATTATGCTTGATGCAGAGCCCTTGTTTGCAGGATGCCTGCTATGCCTGTCTTGCAAAGCCCCTGTCTGGAAAGTTTAAGAGGCAGCAGAATAGGTTCAGTTTTTCCAGCATCCTCTGGGGTCTGTTTCCTCCCAGCTCTGCCCTCTTTCTCATCCCTGGACAAACATTTTCAGCCCTGACCAACCCCCACAGATTCTTTCCCCATTAAACAGAACATAGTCTGGGGAGTGCCAAGGAGCCTTTCTTTGTCTTCTGCATTGTCAAGTTGTACAGATCACGTTACTCCACACTACACTGTATGATTATCTGGTGTTACTGGTGGTGGCCTGCAGTCCCAAATGAAACTTCTTCAGGGTCATGGATCTCCATGAAGGTTTGTTTTTATGCTTTTGACAAACTGCTGTGCATCTGTGATCAGTAAGACTCTATTTTGAAGTTAGTGACTGGAGGTGCAGAATACTTCTCTGGGCTTCTGATGTTGGGACTAGTAAGACCCAAGTCAAAGGCTGATATAAAGAATTGATTTATAGCTGCCTTTTCTTTATACAGGGCATTACTTCACATTCTTATTGTTTCTAAAAATGGGACTGATGGGCTTGCTATCCTAGAAACATGACTAGAATCACCACTCCCAAATGTACATATGCATAGCCAAAGTCTAAAAGTCATTGGTATAAAGGATGGGGGAGGGAATTGAAGGGGATTTTGGTTTTTCTTTGGGGGTTTAATTTTGCTAGGTTTCATTTTTTGAGGGCTTTGCCGATTACATGAATTTCAATGACAGCTGGCAATGGGCAAATACTTATTTAATGTACTTGATAAGATTTGACTATTTTTGCAACACTGTCAAGTGCAGTGCCTGGATTCCTAGCCTGGAAAAAATTTTTAGCTGCTTTGTCTATATGTCAGCCTTTTATTTGTAGCAATCTACCTAGTCCTATGTGTTAAGTTACAAGAGGGGTATGTGTTGCTTTCAAGCAGTATGGTTTTAAATTTTAATTATCTTTAAGACGTTTACTCCTAACACAAGTCTTGAAGAAAAGCCAAAAGTGTTTATACACTTACAAGTGCTATCCTAAGCTCATCATTTAAAAAACTGGGTAAGCTGACTTTTGCCGGTCAAGTTCGATTCCAAATTGCCATTTCTCAAAGCCGTCTTCATAGCTTCTTTGAGATTTAATTGAATAATGACATAATGGAAGTAAAAATTGGTTTTAAATTACTGTCCAAATAGAAAATATTCCTCACCACAGGAATGTTAAATGAATTTTAGCAGATGTTAAACCCGTGCACAGAAAATAAAGATGTGAAATTAAAAAAAAAAAACCACTGCTAGGAAGTATCACCTTTCTTACAAATATATATTTATAATAGGATTATAAACGTCATATTAATATGGTTTGGGTTTTAGTTATTTCTTAATTACACTTTTATTTATGTGCTTACTAAAAGTAGTAAAAGATGCTAGAAATATTAATTGGCATATTTATGATGTGATATGTATGATGACTTTACAATAATCTTTTTTTACATTAATAGATTAGACATAATTCTGTAATTTGTGTGATATTATTTTGAAATATTTTTTCCTGTGCCTGAAAACTGCAGCACTTTATTCATGACGCTACTTATTCATGATGATACATACAAGGTGGCTTATGAATATACTCTTAAATAAAGAAAAAAATCTATCTAAGTATATAGATCCTCCAAAAATTTAATTTTACCGTTAGTAATAGATAGTATGATTGCACAGATATGCCAGTATATAGAAATAAATGCTTCCAAATGGTATCCCTGAATTTGCATTAGCTATCAACACCTAGTTCTACATCACAGTAGAAATATAAGACAACAAGGGAGATGTTTGGTTTTTATTTTAAAGACATAAACAAATTACATACCAAAACTTTAATTTAGGCGCTTTGAGAGTGCTAAATTTTATCATCCATCAAACTTTATAAGTCATCATCATTTTGCATTTTTGATAAATATATATCAATAATATATTAAGCAATAAGTTGGATAGTGGCGATTTACACGATTTTGTAATCTGCAATTCTTTTTTTTTACCAAAAATATCTACTGATAATATTGCAAAATAACTCGGCCATTGAGAAATCCTTACTGGTAGAGAAAAGCTAAACCATAATGGCCATTAATCTGAGCATATACTGATACAGCACCTCTGAAGTTTTAATGCTAGTTTTGGAGACTGGTTTGTGTTTTGTTTTATTCCAGTTTAAGTGTCTCTGCGAAAATCTGTGAGAAGACAGTTCTGAAACGGGTTTTAAAAGAGCTATGGAAGTTAGTCTTGAACAAAATAGAAAAACAAATTGTGCTTCCACCACTGACGGACCAAACCGTAAGTGTCCTAGCAGTAGTTCACACCCGTTATAGAGGATTGTAATAATGTGCTTAATCAGGTGTTTGCCAAGGGGTCTGATACTATCCTTTTCTGTACCTTGACCAGAAGGAACCATATATTGACTGTATGCAGTATGTTGCTCTCTAGTGTTTCAAAGTAGTGTAGCTAGGTTGCTTTTCTGTAGCTGGTGAGGAAGACCTTGCTCTTTCATATACTGCCTGCCCCAACTCGGAGCAGTTTTTATGAATGCAGTATAAAAAAAAGCCGAATCACTGACTTTGTAGTGTGTTTTCATATAAGGGCTTTTAAGTTTGATTTCTCTTGACTTCATCATGCATGGTAGCACCAAGAGTGTTCCTTGCCCTTCCCAGTTGCACCAGGAATTCAATCCCTTCCATTTTTGCAGCTCCCAGAAAGCCAGGAATGTTCCATCCCATTCTCCAGTCCTGCCTGCTGTGCCATTCCTCATCTTGAGGCAGCACTTAACATCAGGAAGCTTAAGTCAATTTTAGCTCTAAAATTTTTGGCTATTTTAATAGCAGACTTGACAGGCAGGACTGCATTTACAGCCTGACAAGAAGAGGGAAAGAAACTATAAGTTAATACAGAAAGTAGTGCTGCTACACACAAGACCAGTGTGGGTGATGGCCTGACATGAATCCTGAATGGTGACAGAGCTAAGGGCACCGGTAAAATGTGATTCTGTCTAAGGATGGAAGAAAAAAAGCCTGGCTTGGAGTGCCTTTTTTTAATTGCTTTTTGCTTTTTTGAGGGACTGGGATAACATAAGTGTTAATTCTTCTCATTTTCAATCTTGTCTAGAATAAATTCACCATCTTTATTACAAGCTAATCATGACATTGCCATAGTGTGCCTTTGGGCAACTTTACTGTATACATCCTATGATATCAGTTAAGCTGCTAAAAATCTATTGGTCAGTGTCCATACATTAAAGGAATATCATTAAATCATATTATAATATATTAAAGATACATGAAAGAATATTGCTGGAGAGACAAGAGGAAATCTAACAGAACATTTATAAATGGTGTTAAGGTAGTAATGAAATAACCTGAGCAATTAAAAATTCTAGACTAGAGCTGATCACAAGATCATAGCCAGGACTCCATTCACTGAATTTGTTCATATTTACTGTAATGCTCTTGTTTACTATGCATAATTAGAAACAGCCTCTCTTTCAATGAGTGACTGTGTCAAATTTATATTTCTGAGATTTTTAATTTGCTTTTCAAACGTTTTGGTGCAAATTTTATCTGCAAATACATAAGTAGCATTTAAATTGGGTAACTGCATTAGGAGCATTTGTTAGCTTTATGCAAGATCACTTGTTACACTCTGAATCATAGAACAGCATGGTTCAGAGTTAAGGCGTTTTTCTGTTGCTTTTTTTAATTGGTTGCCAAGAATACAGAATTACCTGTCAAAGACTTAGTAAGCCCTCTTGGACAATAGCACAATATGTTTCAATACAGAATTACCTGTCAAAGACTTAGTAAGCCCTCTTGGACAATAGCACAATATGTTTCAATTAGTTAGGATAGTAAAACATTTGTTGAAACATTTGCCCCCAAGAGTTTGAATGTAGACCTTTATTTAAAAAAACCCAAGATTTTAGTCTTTCAACCATAGTGAAAATAACCTTTGACTGCCAACTGAACACAGATTTCAGTTCATCTGCCTGAATCTGCAAGCATCTCTGTTGTCCTTACTGATGCTCAGAAATCACACCAAGCAATAAGCTGTGACATTGATGTCATAGCCCATTTCAAAAAAGCTTATTCTGATCGTTAGTTTAGCAAGTTGATACTTCATTAAGCTATGGGTGTACATCTGGAATGCAAAACTTCCACATTTCAGGCAGAGCACAGAAAGGGTGGTAAAGAAGCAGAGACAAGGAGCCCACCTTCCCCCTCACCCAGAATGAAGTGTCTTCTGGATGGACGTTAGATTAGTTAGTGGCCAAAGGTAAGAAGGCTTCTGTTTATCAGCCAGTTACTGATTAAAGGCAGAGACTGTGCCTATCATTCAAGACTAAGATCATTTTAAATGGTGACAACTGGGATTTCCACAAGCGTTTTGCCCCCATTCTTCATAGAACAAACAACCCTTGCTTCTCCACACACACTTAAGAAACATGAGCCCCTGACTAGAAATCATCTGCAGCATATTTTTTTCCAAATTTTGCTCAGCATTTGTATAGTAAAAGATACAATATCTTAAATATATAGTCTGTAAAGATTAAGGAACATGAAAAATAGGTACAAAGATTACTGGATTAGGCTTTCAGAGTGCTTGCAGTATCACATGTGTATGCTACACTTCACCAACTGTTGGGTTTTACTAGTGGTAGCCTCTATATAAAGTGTCCCAGTTGGCAGGCATGGTGAAAGGTGTATACCTAGGTGCATTTATTTTGCTACTTCTGTTTACTTTTGAACACACAATTAAACAAAATCAATGAAAAGTAGGGTACTGTAAGAGAGATGTTTCCCTTTTGTAGCCTTGAATATTACTTTCTCTGTGAGGGTGACAGGCAGAGACATTCAGAAGCAGAGTTTATTTTCTAATTTTCATATTTATCTTACCATTCTCACTATTAATAAATAATGAAAATTTAAGCTGCAGTTGCAGTTGCAATCTTTTGCAATTGAACCGTACAGAAGCAAAATTATTTCTGGAAACTGAAACCTTTTGGAACAGAAGGACTAGTGAAAAATTGTTCTGTATTGTGCTATGTAAATTGGACTGACTTCCCCCCCCCCCCCCCCCCCCGAAATCCAGACATTCAGAACTTGTGAACTGCCAAGTAACTGCACTAGTAATTGTATTTCTTGGAGTAATTGTGACAAAATTACATTGTGAGCATGGAATTATAGTAGGATTCTTTTGTCTAAGACAAACATGTAGGCATTGGCCTTTGGTATCATGCCAGGATTTGGCTATTGTAAAATATTGGTTTAACTTCATAGCACTTTGGTATCTTTTCTTAAAAAAATGGCTTTGGCTTAACAAGTACACTGTTATGCTATGTGTTACTCAACTGAGGATTTCACTGTAGACAGTTAAGCTTTTGCAGGTTCCTCAGGGCTGCTCACTTTCCGATTATGGTTATTTATATTAGCATAGCACCTGAGAGCTATGCTTATGGACAAATATCTTGTTGACATGCTGTATAAGAACAACCCCAGCCTTAGCTTAAAAATATTAAATACAAAATGAGATAGCAGACAGAAGCACATGAAACCACTGTCAACAGAACATGCAATATTTGTATCAAGTATCGGATACTGGAGGGAATCATGCTGCAGGCATTCAACTACTTGGCCTTATCAACTGAATGAAAATAGGTCTCATGTAATTGAAAGTTTCATTTAGCTTTGCAAAACAGTAACTTTGGCTAATGTCCTAGCAGAAAATAAGATCATGTTGACATAAAAAGCAAATATGCTGTAGTGAGTCTGTTTCCTGAATTTTCAATGTGATTACAGGGGCCCCAGATGATATTCAGTGCAGCCAAAGATCTTGGACAACTGTCAAAACTCAAGGTAATGGAGCCAAATGAAGCTGTGAATGGCTTGCTTTAATGAAGAAAATAGTTGAAATATTAGTGACTGTGAGGCCAAGCCTCATGCCTCATTCTTGTGCTTATTTACTATAATAAGATTGAATATGGCAGTAATTATTCATAGGTGAGTAATGATTTTACAGTCTCATCAAAACCAAATTAAGAATAAAAGACTGTATGCTTATATGGTAAAGTGATCACTAGATGGGTCAAGAAGATGTCATTCCTATATTGCACAACTAGGCCTTATAAGCATTAAATATCACAAAAAAAAAAAAAGATGAAATCTTTTGTTCCCTTCTGGAACCAGTTCTGAAGAAAAACTCTAAGATGGGAATACTAGTAATTTTGTTCTCTCTATTATTTACGGTATGTATTGAAACATGTACCTCTACAATAAACTCATCAGCACTACATCACTGAAGTCCATAATACGCTTGAATGGAGAGCTCAGACATTTGATACTGATGTCAGTTGTTTGCCAATCAGGATTTCAGATTTGGGCAGAAACGTGGTAATTCGTGCTTCTATGAATAATTGTGCAGTTTGCTAGAAGAGTTTAAATGTTGCCTAAGTAAATCACAGGATGTTTATTTTGGACAAAGCTTTCACAGGAGTATAGTCACTTTATGACTCTGTTTAACTTATGTTCTAATAGGAAACCTTTTTTTTAAACATGGGGCATTAACAAACGTTAGTTAAACTGTCAGGTTCATTAATAAAATGAACTATTTCAGTATCATCTAATTACTTAAACTTAAAATTTACCCTTTTCCCCACCCCCCAGAACAGAGAAATAATATGTTCTAGGAAAACCTTTTGGAACATAAAGAGTAACGAAAAATTGTTCTGTATTGTGCTATGTAAGTTGAACTGACCTTCCCCCCCCCCCTCTGAAATCCAGACATTGAGAGCTATGTGAACTGCCAAGTAACTGCACTAGTAATTATATTGCTAATATAAATATGTACTAGGAAAAGAAATAAAGCTACACAGATGCTCAGTATTAAACATTAGTGCTTTTTCCCTATAATCTATGTTTTCAAGAAACAACATGATTGTGCTAAGTTGTAATTTGTTGTAAAACAAGTCTGAAGTTGAATTAATCCCTGTTAATCATAGGGGCTTGGGGGCCATTTGGCGGTTTTGTTTGTTCATTTGTTTTTTTCGAAGAATAGACAGGCCACAATGCTGTCTCTCTTTCAAAATCAGCTGCAGTCTTTAACTTTCTTTGCAGGACCATGTGATTCGAGAAGAAGCCAGAAGCCTGACCCTGAGGCAGTGTGCAATAATGGAAGTAGCACTAGCTACTATAAAGGTACAGCTTTACATGTTTTTTCTGTTCTGTGCTGGAATGACAGAGAATATGATTGACATAACAGATTCTAGTATAGAATGGTCCCTTAGAATCATAAAGATCCCTTTAATATGTCAAGAACCATTTGATCCGAAGCTCCTTATATTGACTTGAAAGCAAATATCTAACAGTCTGCTTGCAGAAAAGTTAGAAAAATTATTCTACCAGTTGCAGAAAGAACATGTTCCGTTAAAGGAATTGGTGGCCAAAGCTTATCTATCTGATTCTTCTGCTCCGTTACACTTTAGAGTTAGTGCAGCTGAAACAGCTGGGCTAAATATTGTGTTGCAGCATAGCCTCTTTTTCTCCCACAAAGGAGACACTGGGCCTGAAAAGTGTGGTTATTCCTAGCTGCACTCTCCTGTGAACATGTATGACACGTTTTTTATAGCATATCAGGAAACAAGGCTTTTAATACCATACATTACTGTGCACTATTTTAAATTCAATGTCCAGTTGAATTTATCAACTTTTTACAATTTGGAATTCACCACCTAATTTACTGTCACTCCTAAATAATTTTATTTAATTTAAAGATGCCATTTAATTATTCTACACTTTGGTCCCTTTTCAGTGAAAACAAAAAATCATATTCATCACACACCTGTTAAAAACACTTTTGAATAAATTAATTTTTATGCATTACCAACATCTTCTTGATGCAGATATTGCTAATGCCTAAAACTACTTTAGAAAAATCTTAGCATTGCAGTAAATATTTTACATTAGATCTTTAAAGCAGCCATATTAGAGACAATCCATCCAACCTTACCTGGTGCTAATGTCATTACTAGAAATACAAATTCATTTATCGGTAATTGATAAAGTAACTCTAGGCTTTGACATAGTCATACAGTCCTCACAGGTTTCTGAAGTCAAAAGCAACCATTAAGGAATATTATTTAATGTACTTTGATATCAGTCTTTTTCACATTGGCCTGGCTTTTCACTTGGGGTAAATAACTTGAAAGCAATCAATTTGTAGAATAACAGCATATTTTCATGTCTGCTGCTGCAGAGACAGCACGTCAGGAAGGTAAGGAGGCAGTTACTTAAGTATAAAATTGAAGATATAAATAAGAAGACATGATCAAGTCTTGTGCAATAAAATAGTGTCTCAAAAGACAAGAAAGAAGTATCAGAGAGGGTTCCCAGTTGCCACCTTTTGTATTTGCAGTGGAATTGGCATTTCTTTCAGAAATAAAAATAATATTTGGGGGTTATGATGCTGTGCAAACAGAAATGGAACAAAATGCTGAAGTACTGTGCGCTCCCAAATTAAGCCCTGTGCAGTCTTTAGTTCAGTATGGGAATCTAATTATTTTCCTTTCAAAGCATTTGTTCTAAATAAATACAAGTTGGGAAAAAACGTAAATTCTAACCTTGCCTGAATTTCCGGTGCTTAAACTCTTAAGAGTCATAGATAGATATTAATCATTTTACTAAACAAAAGTCTAGAATTGGAGGGAAGAGGTTAGAAATAGGGAAAATCCTCTATTAATTCAATAATCTTATCTCTGTGTGCTACATTCATAAACTGAGTAAAATAATGCTCTCTGAAAAACCTATTTTCAAATTGTAAAGAAACGACATGACATTAGAACCTGCTTACTGTACTTGGTACAAGATATGGCAAAATCTTTTTTTTTCCAAAATACTAAGAAAATACTCTTGATCATGCAGAAATTGGTCTTACGCTATTAGAAAGTGAACAAAGACAAACCTTATGAGTTAACTCAAGAAAAAAGACTGCTATGTTGATTTAGGAATGCGGTTCATAAGTTTAATGATCAAAATACACAATTTTTTGGTAATGTTAGGTAAATATGGTTTGTTTAAAAGCAAAAAAAAAAATGGCTGCCCAAATAAGAATAGAAGAATGGTAAAAATGGCATATGGTATCTGTTCAAAAAATAGGTAACTGATTATTGTAAGGAAGGGATTTGCGGGCAGGAGTATCTATGTGCTTGCACAGTCTTTTTTATTTTTCCTTTCATTAGTCTAATTTTTAGTACCAAAAATTATTTCACTGAGCAACTTACAATTATAATTTAATAGATGATGCTGTTATTAATGCTTTGAAGAGCATAAAATAAAGCAATAATCTTTCATCTTAAATATATATATAGCATATCATCAGTCTTTGTATGTTGTAAAAAGAACCTTAGCAATTTTTTTTTTTTTTTTTTTTTAGCTTAATTTGCAATTTACTGTTAGGAAGAGTGGCTTTCTGGCCTCAGTTATCTCAGCTAACTCATTATTTCAGCCCAGAGATAATGTTCATTGACAATATTGTTCTAGTTTCCATTTTTGTCTTTGCAAGCACCGTAAACGAACAGGCACTCTACAAAGTGAAACTACCACCCAATATGACTTGTGTGGCATTTGTCAAGTTTTGGCTGAGACTGCAGTGGCTACAGCATTGATTTCCATATACTTGATATTATGCACTTGCGTCTGCACCTTTCATTTGTCAGTATGACTTTCAAGCCTCTTTTGTCACCTATGAACCTTGAAACCGTTCAGACTGGAGCATGAGTAGCAGGTGAACTATTTTCAAAGTTTACAAGTCTAAAGAACAGGGTATTAGGTGTCCAACTGAATCTGTAAAACCCTGTTTACTCGTTATTTTTCTACATTTGATTCCATACAATAACGGTATGTTCATGTTAGTGGTTTTGCATGCAAACTTTACCATTTATGGGCAAAAGCAAAAAAATGTAAAAACTCAGGAAGATTAGGGTCAGGTGTCCTTGTTTCTTTAAATGTCTGTTAGCTTTCATGGAGCTTTTAGTCCTTTGTAGCTGCTGCTGCAGATAACATTTTCTTTGGAGACACAATTAAAAAAAAAAAGATCACAGTAATTGTCACAATAGCAGGAAATATTAGCAGATTTTAGCACTTGCTTATAAATTGATTAAGGTCCTTGGTGAAACCGTGAATATACTTTTAAGCAATTAAGACAATAGAAATTTCTTTGGAACACATAGTATGAAATAATTTGCTTGGAAAGATACAAATTTCATGTAAGTATGCAATGATGAGAAGATAAAGGTGATTTAGTCAGAACCTGTTAAATTGACACTAACTGCACACATAGGATTAAAAAAATATAAAACTTTCGAAGTCTGATGACTTCACATCCTTTGTTTTGGTCCTACAGATATCTTTTCCCTGTAACAATCAGTAGCCATCAACACAGAAATGTAAATAATGACTTTGTTATGAAAAGTACATTTATGTTTCATCTCCTGCAAAAATCTTGATACTTGGAAGGTGAAATGTGTCCCCCATCTTAAGTTTGCAGGAAGCACTAAGGGTGTAGGGGTTTACTGCTGCATCATTCATAGGAATGCATAAAGAGAACTGTGGGTACAGCTGTTCTGCCCCAAAGGAAATCCTCTTTTGAAGAATGAAATGTACTCCCCATCTTCAAGGGCAGTACCAACTGATGAGCTCCTTTTCTCTTCCATCCTCTTCCTTTCACAGTCCAGGAAACCCTAATGTGGTCACTCATGGATGATACACACGTTTTCTGGATACCCACAGTAAAATATCCACAGGTCAAAACTGGAATCAAAAAAGATAATCACCATGGAAACTTCCATGGAAACTACCATAATTTCCCAAAGCATAATCATAATTTCAGGCACAATTACAATGCAATGCATATTCTAGGATCCTTTCTTTTAAAATTTTAACAAAATTCCCCCTTCCCTCAGAAAGAATATATTCTTTACTTGTGCTGTAAACCATGCCTTGATTTTAGAGATTTTTTTTTAGATAGAGAATTAAAAATGATTCCACTCTCCACAACCTAAAAGAACCTTGCAAATATATATATATATATATCCAGTTTTGACATATAAATACTTGAGATCATGAAGACCAAAATTAAAATTTTGTATATTTTTTCTCCCACAAGGCTTAAATTTTTACCTTTGAAAAGAAGCTCTGTAGTGGAGATGATGACAGTTATCTCAACTGCTATAATCATAAATCTAGCTACACATGCCAGGTGTTATTTTTAAAAGTTTGTGTAAGAATTTTACTTAAAATTGTATGTCTGTAACTGAGGCCTTTCAGATACTTGTTTTTCATTTTAGCAATACTTCCATGCTGGAGGAAGTGGGCTGAAAAAGAATTTCCTGGAAAAGAGCCCGGACCTACAGTCCCTGAGATATGCTCTTAGCCTTTATACACAAACTACTGACACCTTGATAAAGAAGTTTATAGACACTCAGACATCTCAAAGTAAGTGATCTATAAGAGAGATATAAGTATGTCAAATTATTTTTAAATAATTGGTTCCAATCATATTCTCCAAACACTGTGGTATTTTAGAGTTTATTGTCATAGATTTGCCCATGTAATGTTATCCCACATCAACTGCTGTTGTCAATCAGTGGAGCTTATCTGAGGCCAGTGCATTTATCAGCTTGTCACTTTACATGAAGAATAGGTCCCATAGCTCTATATGGACATTGAATATCAGGGTTATTTATAGGAGCACTCCACACACAAACAGGGTTGTAGAGGCCATGCCAGAGTGCATATTAGATTTGCAGAAACAGAGTAAATTCGTAGAGTACATTGGCAACTCTAGATACTTTCAGAGCTGGAGGATATTAATTACTAATCACAAATAACTGCAAAAAGCATGACGTATCCCTGAAGGTTTCCTTTTGGGATTAAGAACAATAAATTGTGAGCAACATGTCCTTAATGTGTAGCACACTGATTCCACATTACAGAACCCAAACTTCTCCTTCTAGCACGTCACCTGTGGATTCAAAAGGAATAGAAGATTTCTGTAGGCTAAAATACCGCATTATTTTCCCTGTCTGGATTTTTTTACTTTGTGCATTTCAGAATTCAGATTCAAAACCATCCTG